TTAGTAGGCATTCTCCACTAAGCGTTTGTAGGCATGTGTTAGGACTATCCAATTCAAGTGAAAAACAGTTGAGAACAGTAGAAAGTCTATAACCTATCAACAGAACACATTCATCCACTAATGATATGCAACAGACGTGGGAATAAAGCCAAATGTTTTGCACAGCTGACCACGAACACTGGATAACTGAAGTCAACACCAGGCTATAAAGCACAGTAGAACAAACACTATAGGCAGCATATCAGAGAAAGAAAGCTTTGTAAGTAACGGTACGAATTAAAATGAAAGGTGTTTACATACAGGTACGGTACATACAAGTACATTTGGAAGTACAAATCCTACGAAGCGCTCCAGGTCAAGTCATAGTATCGTATAGTATGTCGAAAAAAGTGAAAAAATGTCATAGTAGTTAAAGGTGGGGTAGGTAAGTTTGAGAAACCGGCTCGAGATACACTTTTTGTTATATTCCATGGAATGCTCTTAACATCCTGATAGCAATGAATATCTGAAGAGCTTTGACAAAAAATCCATACAAAAAATGTAATCTCTGGAAGCCATGGAGCTGTAAAAAGCTCGACCAATCATCTGAGCCGGCTAAAATAACTGGATGGCCTACCTGCCTGTCAGCCTTCCATCTGTGCACAAACTTATCTCGTGCCCTCATTGGTCATGAGCGTGTTCGTGTGTGTTGGAGGAGGGGCTCTGTGAGGAAGTGACAGATTTTTTCTGGTTGTGTATTTTCAAATTCTAGCGCACTCGAGCTGGTTTCTCCAAAATGACCTACCCCACCCTTAAAGCCAGACGACTTCAGTAGGCACAGATGAGCTAACAAACAGGAAGTGGGACAGTATTAAGAGACGGACAAACACGTTGTTGGTTTTAAACAATATTTATTGATAACCTTTGTGTTGTTTTTCACAATATATCATGTGACTGCGTTAAAAGAAATAATAGTTTAGAATAACACTTTTGTTTAATTCTGTAATGCTAAAGCTACCTAGCTACCAACACATGTTTTGGGAAAATAAAACAATGCCTTTATTTACTTAAGTATTTATTTACACTTTGTAGGTTTACCTCATTTCAGAGGCTCTTCTTTTTACTTCATGTATTTCATATTGTAGTTATACATTGGAAACATATTCACACCTTTGTCCTTTTATTGAAGTACATTTTTAGTAAGCTGACTTTTGTAAACTGTTTTATGTAAAAGCATGGACTTCAGTCACATGATCTGCAGTTGTGTTTAAGTATTAAATATAGCGTCACTGAGGCACCAGTAGTTCCCTCACTAAAGTGTGTGTGTGAGTGTGTGTGTTTGATCCGACAGTCAGCGCCCCCTGCAGGCGAGCGATCTGATCTGCAGTCGGACGCGGAGTCTCGAAATGCAGCCGCAGCCAGGAGGCGCCTGAAAACACAGAAACACACATTACACACACACACACAGACAGACACACACACACACACACACACAGACAGACAGACAGACAGACAGACACACGCACAAACTGACACACACACACTACACACACACACAGACACACACACACACACACACACACACAGACAGACAGACAGACAGACAGACGCACACACACACTGACACACGCACACAATTACACGCTGACAAAAGTAACAGATGTGTAATTAGGTGGATTGTGTTTGTTTATATATAATTTGTAAATCAATAATATTTTTGTTTATCAATTTGATACTGCTTGAGTTCGTAGAGTATCATAATTCTCTTCATTTTATTATTATTATTATTATTATTTTCGTATTGTTTTACACGTTCGAAATTAATCAAATCAAAAGTAACAGCAAAGTATTTCATCAACAAGCCATGAATGAATAAATACAATAAGTTAGTAACCCATCACCGTTGACCTCTGACCTTTGCTGACTCTTTGACCCAGCGACACCAGAAGCTCCGCCCCCGTGCTGTGATTGACAGGTTCTCCCACCTTCGATCGACCCGCCCCCAATTTATGGAGAACTTCAGCTAACGCCAAACCATCGACTTCCAAAACCTCTCCTGCAGGTCGAGAGGAAACTCATTTACCAAAAATACTCAGATATTGTACTGGAATAAAAGTAGAAGTACTCAGATCTTGTACTTAGAGTACTACAAAGTAGAAGTACCACAGTGTAGGAATACTCTGTTACATTAAAAGTATTTGCATTTGTTTGTTTTTTTGTTTGTTTACCATCTGTCGGTGTCTTCAGCTCCATCTGATACTCAGCTTTCCTCAGGACGCTGTAGTAATCTGAGTGGGCGGAGCATAGAGACCGAGCCGTCTCATTGGCTACTCCCTGAGCCTCCATCATGGCCTGGAACTTTGAGAGAGCAGCTCCACCAATCACAGCGTGAGAAATCTTCCTCTTGCCCTCTGATGGGTCGGACACAGAGCCAGTCATCTGCAGCAACAAGCCGCCTAAAAAAATAATACGTTTTTTTACTTTTTTTCCCGAAACAATTCAAACAAATATATTCTTGTTTTTTTTAAGGAACATTTCCTATTCAAATTATTATACATTTTTATGTTTCATTAATTAATTTATTGAGTAATTTATTTATTTTAAGCCCTGAAAATATCCTAAATAATTACTTTTCTATAAATAAGCTATACTAATTAGGAAAAAAAAGTAAATATGAGTCGTAATAAAAAAATACTTATTATTGAATATCAAAAAAAAAAAAAAGTACTTATCAGGTCTTTAAAGGCTTTTACTATCCCTTAAATCTTATGTCTTTAAACCCTGACTTCAGTGAGGCCTTCAGGGTCCACATATAACGTGGTTACCCAGAGTTGTGACGAGCTCCATCAGGTCTTCAGGTCCTCGCCCCTTCAGCGTCTCCAGAGACTCCATCACCTCCAGACTGTTGCCCACACATCGACCAATCACAGCGTCCATACAGCTGAGCGCCGCCGCCGTGCGCATGCCCAGCAAGTTCCCAGCATGCACCTGGATAACGAAACAACGATTGTTAGCAATCAAAATTAATTATAAACAATAAAAACTTCAGCTAACAATAGAATAATAAGTCAAAATAATAAAAATAAAAGCATTAATAATAATAATAATAATAAATAATAAATAATAAATAATAATAAAAGTACAAAAAACCCTATTATTTTTAAGCATGTATACAAAGCTTTGTGGTATTGGTTATATAAATATGAAGACTCACCAGTGACTGAGCTAGCTCTCTAGCGCTGTCCAGGTCTTTGTACAGAGCGGCTCGTCCAAACTTCACGTCCAGAACCAGCGCCGACAGAGACTCGGCTCCTTTCTTTGAGAGGATCGAGGCTGGAACAGAAACATCTCTTATTTTTAAATGTATATTTATGAGACAGAGTATATTTCAGTATTCCTGTAACTGGAGCCAGGGCCGCCGCTTGCGGACAGGCAAGGCAGGCAACTGCTTGGGGCCCGGACCAGAAGGGGGCCCCCAAAGAAGATAGATTAAGAAGGTCCACAGCAACGATAACATGAAAAATCCTTTAATTTACTGCAATTCGAGGGGGGGGGGTTCGAGGGGCCCCCAGTGAATGTTTGCCTAGGGCCCCCACAGACTCTAGAATCGGCACTGACTGGAGCACTCTTACTGTATGTCACGTTAGTAACTACAGAATAAAGCTGCCATTATAATAGAGAAATAAAGAAATATATAAATACAAATAAATATAAACAGAAAACATTTATATTAAAATAAATAAATCAGTTAAATATAAACATGACAACAAAATAATTATTCTAAATTATGTATTTACTTATATATTTATTTGTTGATCTTTATTTTAAATAAATAAATAAAATATATAAGGAAATTAATTAAAGCCACGTGAAGAAGACTTTTGGGTATACATTCATATTAAAATTAGTCATTTAAATTATTTATTCTTCTATTTCCTAACATATGTCCTATTAAAGTTAAATGTATTTTTACATTTCCTGAACTTATTTTGTAAATATTATTAATCGTTTTATTTGTTTTAATGTCAGTGTTAGGCCTCCATCAGTAACCCCAGTACCAGTGATGAGAGGCAGGCTGTTGACGGTGCTGGTGGCGTCTCTCAGGTCGTACAGGACTCGATCTGCAGGGACCAAAGTCTCCGTCTGACCCACAATGCAACAGCCCACCGAGCCCAGGATCTCCAGGATCTGCACATTTAACGAAATGATAATGAATAAAATACACATGCATTATTTGTACTACATGTATTCAGGCATGTGTTGTTATTTTACATTTTTATATATTTTTTTGTATATTCAGTTTTTTTTTAAATTATTTTATTTTATTTCTAAAACAATTTCTTGAACAAGAATTTCCTTACAGATTAATTAAGTTAAATGTTATTTTATTTGGAAAATCCTGCAAAAAATAAGGTGGGTGTTACGGCCGCCGCCTTCTATCTTTCCATTAACCTTTCAGTAAGTGTTTGCAGCTGTGTGTTATGATCTGTGCCATTGCCCAGATGCCATTGGATGCCAGCTTCCTGTCCCTCCCCCGGTAGGCGTGACCGAAGATCTGGATTGGAGCATGCCGGGCCCAACTCTCCAATCACCGCACACACCTTCCAGGGACAACTACAAGAATGTGTGCACCTCAGTTA